CAGGGAGGTCGGGGTGGTGGCGCAGGTGGTGGTGGTGGTGTTAGTGGTAGTGACGGTAGTCCGCCTGCTGGGACTACCACTGGTCGGCAGGAGCAGCAGCCCCCGCCGCAGCAGGAGCAGCCCGAGCCGCCGCCGCCGTCCCAGCAGCAGCCGTCGCCCCAGCAGCAGCCGCCGCAGCAGTGGGCTCGTCTCCCGCCGGGTTGGCCTGGCACCGGCGGAGGTGGTGGCCGTGGTGGCGGCCCGCGCAGCTCGGCGTCTACCAGCGGCTCCGGTGCTGTGACCTGCCAGTACCAGCTTCAGACCGGGCCTCTTCGCGGCACTCTGTGTCGCCGCCCGCACCCGACTGCCCGCTGTTTTTGCCGCCTTGACGATCTTTTTCGTCGTCGCTTTGGCCCGGCCCCGGACCTCCCTGACTGGCACAGCCTGCTCCGCCAGGGCGTGCCGATCTTTGAGTTAGACATGGATCAGATAGGTGCTGCTTTGCATGCTTTGTATTCTAACGCTGCTATTGTTGCTGGATCTTATTATCATGTGTTCTCCAGCTTAGGTGTTGCACCCTTGTGTAGCATAGCTTCCCCTGCTGCGTCAGGCGTAGGACTGCCTAGTTTGCCTAGCCCAGTCTCTGCACCGGCCCCGTTCCCGGCCTCCGCCACTGCATCGCTGTCGTTCACTCTCGACTCCGGTGCTTCTGCCTGCTTCTTCCGCGACCGCTCCGCGCTCACGCCACTTGCTACACCTGCTGTCGTCTCTCTCGCTGACCCCTCTGTGGGTCCTGTCGTCGCGCGCAGTTCTACGTCCCTTCCCTGTCCTGCAGTTCCCTCGGGCTCCCTTACAGGCCTCCACGTTCCCTCGTTCTCGAGGAACCTGGTTGGTGTCGGCTGTCTCCAGGACCTCGGCGTCACCACCACGTTCCCCGGGCACGAGCGGTTCGCTGTCTGTTCTGAGGCTGTCTCAAGTTCCCCTCTTGCGACGTTCCCCCGGGACCCGGTGTCCGGTCTGTTTACCCTCGACACCGCTTCCCCCCCAGTTGGTGCGTCCTCCCAGGTCGCTGCAGCTTGCTCGTGTCGTTCCCTCACTCACCCGTCCCTTCTCTGGCACCACCGCTTAGGTCACCCTGCTCTCCCTCGTCTGCGTCACATGTCCCAGCACGGTCTTGTCTTAGGTCTCCCCGCGTCGCTCCCTGCCCTTCCTCCCTCGACTGCGCCACCGTGCACGCCTTGCGTCGAGGGCCGCCTCCGCCGTGCTCCTCACTCCTCCTCGCTGCGCCCTGCGACTGCCCCCCTCCAGACCCTGCACCTGGACGTCTGGGGCCCTGCCCCCGTCCCCGGACCGCGCGGTGAGCGCTACTTCCTTGTGCTCGTCGATGATTACACGCGCTACACCACGGTGTTTCCTCTGGAGCGGAAGGCCGACGTGCCCGACGTTCTTCTCCCGTGGGTTGTGGCTGCGCGTCTCCACCGCGGTCTCCCCGTGTTGTGTCTCCACTCCGACCGTGGCGGCGAGTTCGCCTCTGGTCGGCTTGGACAGTTCTGTCGTGCAGAGGGCATCACCCAGACGTACACCTTGCCGGACTCGCCACAGCAGAATGGGGTTGCTGAGCGCCGCATTGGCTTGGTCATGGAGGTTGCTCGTACCTCCATGATTCATGCTGATGCCCCCCATATTCTGTAGCCGTTCGCTGTTCGCTACGCTGCTCACCAGCTTAACTTGTGGCCACGCTCTCAGCGGCCACAGGTTTCACCGACCCTCCTCTGGACCGGGTCCCCTGGTGACGCGTCTGCGTTCCACGTCTGGGGCTGTCTTGCTCACGTTCGTGCCTCTGGCACGGATAAGCTCACTGCCCGCACGGTCCCCTGTGTCTTCCTTGGTTTCCCCCTCGACTCGTCTGACTGGCTGTTCTACCACCGGCAGTCTCACCGCTTCCTCCACTCTCGTGACGTCACCTTTGACCAGTCTGTCTCCTTCTACCGTCGCTTCCCTCACCGAGGTCTCCCGGTTGCCCCGCCCCTGTTCCTTGCTCCCTCTCCCCCGGTAGCCCCTGCGCCTCCCCCGCCTCGCCCTGCCCCGTCTGGTGTCTCTCACGTCACTCCCCTCCCGTCGGTTGTCCCCGTTGAGGAGTCCGCTGACTCTGGTGGTACACCTAGCCCGTCCGTGCCGTGTCCCCCTCCCCCGGTGTCTTCGCCTCCACGGTCGCCGTCGCCCCCTCTGACGCAGCCGCTGCCGCTGTCGCCGCCGCCGCCGTCGTCGCTGCTGTTGCCGCCGCCGCCGTCGCTGCCGTCGTCGCTGCCGCCGCCGCTCTTGGCCCCTGCGGCTGCTCGCGTGGAGGAGGGTGTTCGTCCTGCAGCTTCTGGGGGTGCCGCTGGTGTTGAAGGAGGTCCTCGCTCTGGGGGTGTTGGTTTTGGGGGTGCTGCTGTTGAGGGTTCCGCCACCGGTTGTCCTCCCTCTGCCGGTCCAAGCGTTCCGGCACAGTCGCCGCCGGTCTCCGCTCTCCGCCTGCTCGGCCTTCCCTCCCCAGACCGCTCCCCGGTGTCTTCCCCGCCGTCTGCTGACCTTCCTGTCTACGGTCCTGTGTTCCCGCCGCCGGACTCGTCTCCAGCCCGGCTTCCTCCTCGTTCTCCTCTTGTGTCCCCTCCACTGTCTCCTGACCCTACACCTCCGTCGCACGTTTGGTCTCGCCGTCCCTCCCGTGCTCGTCCCGTCTCTCCTGTCCTGCGCTCCCACCATATGTTGCTCCGTTCCCACTCGTCTCGTCCTCCCCTCCTCCCGTCACCTCCTCCCTCGTCCCTTGCTGTTTCGCCTCCTCCGTTCTCTGACTACCTCCGTGCCGCTCGTCCCCTTGTCCCTCGGGTTCTTGCCTCTATTGTTACCGACCCTTCTGTTCCCGTCTCGCGCCTTGACGCGCTTGTCGCTGCTGTCGCTGACTTCGCCTCTACCCGCCGCCTTGACTACGCTACTGCTCTGGTCTCTGACCCTGCCCGTCCTCCGTCCGTCGGGGGTGCACCTGCCCTTGGCAGTGACGTTCTAGAGGGCAGGCAGTACGAGCTTGCTTTCCTTTCCGAGGCCGCTCCCCATCTCTGCTCCATGCTCCTACTCCCTGAGGGTGACCCAGACGCCTTTGACATCCCGACCCCTCGCACCTACGCTGAGGCCACTTCGGGACCCTGGGCCTCTTAGTGGATAGCTGCCATGGAGCAGGAGATGGCATCTTGGAGGTCCACCGGCACTTACGTCGACGCAGTTCCCCCACCTGGGGTGAACGTAGTCGATGGTCGGTGGCTCTTCAAGGTGAAGCGCCCCCCAGGAGAGCCGCCTGTCTTCAAGGCGCGCTACGTGGCCAGAGGCTTCAGTCAGCGCGAGTGGGTGGACTTCTTCCAGACCTTCGCCCCGACCCCGAAGATGACCACTCTTCGGGCGCTGCTACATGTAGCAGCACAGCGTGACTACGAGCTTCACTCCCTCGACTTCTCTACTGCCTTTCTTCAGGGCAGCCTACACGAGCAGGTCTACCTGCGCCGACCACAGGGCTTCGCTGGTACCTTCCCCCCGGGACGTAGTGGCTTCTAAGGCGCCCGGTCTACGGCCTGCGCCAGGCTCCCCGCGAGTGGCACGACACGCTACGTGCCACGCTAGCAGACCTGCAGTTCTTTCCGTCGTCCTCTGACCCCTCGCTTTTTGTGCGGTCCGACCAGACTCCGTTCTACATCCTTGTCTACGTAGACGACCTGGTCTTTGCTACTGCTGACAGGGACGCACTGGCCTCAATGAAGGCCAAGCTGCTGAAGAGACACACCTGCACTGACCTTGGAGAGCTGCGTCGCTATCTTGGCCTGCAGATCTCTAGGGACAGAGCAGCACGCACCATCACTCTGACACAGTCACACTTGGTGCGTCAGGTCCTTCAGAGGTTCGGCCTTCAGTTCTCCTCTGCACAGCCCACACCTCTACCCGTAGACCACGGGCTCTCCGCTCCCGTTCCTGAGGAGCCAGTAGAGCCCAGCGGCCCCTACGCAGAGCTGGTGGGTTGCCTCATGTACCTGATGACTTGCACTCGCCCAGATCTCGCATACCCTCTCAGCATCCTGGCTCGCTTTGTGGCCACTGGCAGACACCGACCACAGCACTGGTCGGCCGCTAAGAGGGTTTTGCGATATCTAGCAAGTACATCCGGCATGGGGTTGGTGTTAGGAGGACGCAGGCCAGTGGTCCTCACTGGGCACACAGACGCGTCTTAGGCAGACGACTCTGAGACGCTCAGGTCGTCGCACGGCTACTGCTTTAGCCTTGGTTCGGGTGATATCTCTTGGAGATCCACTCGCTCGTCGTCTGTTGCTCAGTCCAGCTGTGAGGCTGAGATCTACGCTGGTGCCATGGCAGCACAGGAGCTCCGCTGGCTGACCTTCTTGCTCACTGACTTAGGTGAGCGGCCTAGCTCTGCCCCGGTCCTGTACGCTGACAACAGGGCCATGATCCTCCTGTGTCAGGAGCCTCGGCTTGAGGGCAGAGCGAAGCACATTCAGCTGCAGTACTTTCTCATGCGCAAGCTACAGCAGCGCCGCCAGGCCCGCGTAGTTCACTTGGCCTCTGGTGCCAACACAGCTGATATCTTTACGAAGGCGCTTGCGCCTAAAGATCATCAGAGGCACTGTGTACAGCTGGGTCTAGTTCCTGTAGCCTCTCACTTGCTAGGACCTTGACCTTGTACTATTCTATATATGTCTGCATATGTACTCAGACTGGACTTGTGTCCTCTCCCAGTGGCTGGACTAGTAGTGCCGTCCTGGTCTTGTTCTTGTCTTGTCTGTACTCCTTTTGACTGGTCTTTAGACCCTTATCTCAGAGGCTGGACTAGTAGTGCCGCCCTGAGCTGCTTGTTCAGAACCTGCCCCTATGCAGTCTAGGGGGTGTGTCAAACATGTTTATCTACAATGTTTGTATAGACTGTATAGGGTCATCTCTTAGAGAGTACAACCCTTAGATATAGGTCCTTGTACAATTCTTTCTAGTCAATGATTATACAGTTTTCCTTTGAGAAAAGGCGCCGATCTTCACCCTACTGTCTACTGTTGTTCCCTAAGCCCCCAAGCGTCGCTAAAGATTCTTCCCGCCCTACTAGTGTGCAGACAGGACTCCGGAGTGCACTCACAATCTGGTCCAACAATTACACTCGAAATGGCGTCGTGTAAGCTCATCCGACCACACCTGTACGTCTCACCCCGGCAATCGCGGGCTGTTCTGCGCAGCGCGGATATCGATCTACTCGCGCTGGAAGGCCGCCTCTCGCTGCTGGACGCTCAGCGCGAACTCAATGCGATCCGCTGCGAACAGTTCGTTACCAGGTTACAGTCGTTCCTGAGGGAGGGAGAGAGCGAAGGCGACGAATTGCGGGATGATTGGGTGTCGCGCAGAGGGAGCAGAATGGCGTCTCGCTACAGTCACAGTCGCGAGGCAGTGGCGGCGGGGGCTGGCGAGATCCCTTGCGCGCAGTCAGCGCCGGAGATCGGCGGCCACAGAGCGCCACGCAGCAGCCATGCTGGTCGCAGCGCCAGAAGCCAAGGGCTGGGCGCTGAGCGCCTCACGCGGTGGGCCTCCTGCGAGCAGCGCTTGAACGGCGAGGACGGAGAGTGATGACTCTGCTCAGGACCATGCGTGACACTGTACCGTCAGCTCCTAAGCCCGACGAGCAAGCGGCTCACCAGGACACAGCACCTCCTGCTGTACATAACGTTTTTGTTCCACTGGCTGTGGAATTGCTGCACTGCGAGACCGGCTATCCGGCATCATCCACACGCTTTACGCAATCGAGCCAGGCATTGATGTACTGCCCTGAAAATAACGGAGCCTGTGCTGTTCTGCCTGGCATGCAAATGAACAACAGTCACCCCTCCCATCTGTACAAGGACACTCTGCTTGGGTTGTCTTAGAAGCTGGTAACGTTGGGATTGTCGATGATCAGTCTGCAGCATGCTGTGCCGTGGCACCTTCATCGCCAGCCCTTCCTGCCAGGGCAGGAAGCCCAAACTCCAGGCCAATCTAACTCTTCCTGCCCATGCACTTGACAAAAGGAATACCTTGTCCTTGACTCCTGGTGAATCTACCGTGAGATCCTCCCTCCTGTGTTGCCAATCTGCTCCTAGGCATCTCCACCTCTATGGATTCACTTTCATCTGCACGTACGCCTCCCTCAGCGCCACCTGCACCTCATCCGGCAGCACGTCCAGCCCGCCGCTGTCGCGCATGGCGGGGTACCAGCGGGCCATGCACCGCACCGCCTCTCCCACCACCTCCCACTGCCCCACCGCCCATGCGGCCCGCACCACGGCCTCCATAGCTTCCCAGGGCGCCTGGCTCCATGCAGAGGTGCGGCCGCTGCTGCCATTGCTGCTGCCACCACTGTACTGCATGCTGCTGCTGACCCACTGACCGCTGATGGCTGTGTCGTGACACGTAGCGCGAAGCCGTGTTGCCACGTAGCACAGGGTGGCAGTGTGCAGAGCAGGCAGCATCCACTGGTCAGCGAGCGAGGCGAGATGGACGGCTGAGATGAGGCGAGAGGTGAGGGGGAGAGGGGGCAAGCGCAGGGAGGAGAGGGGGATGGGCGTGCTGCAACGAGCGGCCAAGCTGCTCGCAGCACCAGGTGTGCTTGGCTGCATGGGGTTGCAGGGCGTTGGCGCGGCAGCGGGGAAGAGGGGGAGGGGGAGGGGGAGGGGGAGGGGGAGGGGGCGGAAGGAGATGTGGGCGGAGTAGAGGAAGCGGAGGAGGGCGATGAGAGCCGGCAGGGGCAGGGGCGGCAGGTGCAGCTCCTGCTGCGAGCTGGCGGGCGGGTGTGGAGCCAGGCGTAGGGGGGAGAAGTGTAGGGGAGGGCGGGGATGAAGAGGTGGATTGCGTGAGAACGTGGAGGGTGGTGGAGCAACAACGTCAGTGCGTATGCTGAGAGGCCTAAAAACTTGGTTACAGAGACTGGCGAGAAACAGCAGCAAAAATTGGAACTTGCAAGTTTTTCATCTTCACACATAATGTGCATTCCAAATGGCTCCAACCTCTCTCTTGCATCCACCTCCTGCTCCCCCCTCCCCCCCAAGCACACCCCGAACCCCGTGCCGCGCATGCCAACGTGTCGCGCACAGAGTGCTCCTCGTCATCCACCGTGCCTCGGTCCCCATCGCCCAACCCCTCCTCACTTTGCTCCCCCCCTCACCTCTCGCGCATGCCGCTGCGGAACATGGCCTCCAGGTACTGGCTCCTGGCAGCCAGCACACAGCGGTGCGCCGCCACTCGCACACACCGCCACATGCCGCCGTGCCGCCCCTCTGCCTCGTCTCCTGTGCCTGGCCCACCGCATGCCCCATGGCCTCCTTCCCCTCTGCTGCCACGGCTGGCTGGGTGCTCACCAGAGTGGCAGCGGGGGGCATGGCGGTGGCACGGCACGCAGACGACACCGTCGCTGGCGGGCGGGCACGTGCACACGCAGGGATGGCGACAGGGCCAGAGAGGAGAGATATGGGCGAGAACGAGTGGTGGACGAGCGAGAAGTACATGGGTGGTTGCAACAAGAACACGTACTGGCTGGTTGCAACAAGAACACGTACTGGGTGGTTGCAACAAGAACACGTACTGGCTGGTTGCAACAAGAACACGTACTGGCTGGTTGCAACAAGAACACGTACTGGCTGGTTGCAACAAGAACACGTACTGGCTGGTTGCAACAAGAACACGTACTGGGTGGTTGCAACAAGAACACGTACTGGCTGGTTGCAACAAGAACACGTACTGGCTGGTTGCAACAAGAACACGTACTGGCTGGTTGCAACAAGAACACGTACTGGCTGGTTGCAACAAGAACACGTACTGGGTGGTTGCAACAAGAACACGTACTGGCTGGTTGCAACAAGAACACGTACTGGCTGGTTGCAACAAGAACACGTACTGGCTGGTTGCAACAAGAACACGTACTGGCTGGTTGCAACAAGAACACGTACTGGGTGGTTGCAACAAGAACACGTACTGGCTGGTTGCAACAAGAACACGTACTGGCTGGTTGCAACAAGAACACGTACTGGCTGGTTGCAACAAGAACACGTACTGGCTGGTTGCAACAAGAACACGTACTGGCTGGTTGCAACAAGAACACGTACTGGCTGGTTGCAACAAGAACACGTACTGGCTGGTTGCAACAAGAACACGTACTGGCTGGTTGCAACAAGAACACGTACTGGCTGGTTGCAACAAGAACACGTACTGGCTGGTTGCAACAAGAACACGTACTGGCTGGTTGCAACAAGAACACGTACTGGCTGGTTGCAACAAGAACACGTACTGGCTGGTTGCAACAAGAACACGTACTGGCTGGTTGCAACAAGAACACGTACTGGCTGGTTGCAACGAGAACACGTACTGGCTGGTTGCAACGAGAACACGTACTGGCTGGTTGCAACGAGAACACGTACTGGCTGCAGATGCGGAAGGGACTGGAGAGAAGATGGCAGCACGAGAGGGCAGAGCAGGAGCATGGGGCACACACTGCACAATCGATATTGTTCATAACATATGATGCACGATGCACGGTACGTCGAAACCACCATGCCATGGTGCACGCTGCCATGCCATGGTGCATGCTGCCATGCCACCCCTCACCTCCAAGGCACTCCAGCGGGACCAAGTGCTGACGTCAGATCACACCCACTAACGTCATCCTTGGCCCAAATTGGCCAATCACAGCGAAGCAGCGCAACGAGCCCATCCAATCGGCACTTCATAGCCAACTGCAGCAGATCCTGTGATGGTGAATGAGAGAGTGACACCTGTCCTGTGTAAATATACTCCAGCAACTGACTGAACGCCTCAGCAGTCACACCCTTCCCCAGTCGGACCTCCCTCACAATCCCCCCCTCTCTCTCCAGCCCTTCTCCTCCTTCCCCTGCCAGTCCGTGCCCACTTGCCCCCTCGACCTTGCCTGGAACGGGAGGAGCGGGGCTGCTGGGAAGGGGGCGAGGGGGAGCGGGGCGGGCAGACGCGGAGGGGACCTTGAGGGGCGCGAGGAGGGCGGGGCAGCGCGCAGCGATGATTGCCCCGTGGGCCAGGACATGCGGAGGGGAGAGGGCAGAGGAGGGCGGGGAGGAGGAGCGGTGGGAGAGGATGAAGGCCGCGTGCGCCCTGGCGCCTGCTGGGCAGGACAGGCGAGGGGTGAAGGGCGTGTGCGTGCTGGCAGGGGAGGAGGATGGCGAAGGGGAGGCGGAGGAGCAGAGAGCAGAGCGGATGTGGCGAGCAACAGGAGAGGGCACACCGATTGTGGAGGTAAAGCCACCGCAGGGCCGCGCAGACGCAGCAGGCACGGCAGGGGAGTGCGGGAGTGCTAGGGGCACGGAGCGGCAGAGGGAGAGGCAGCGGGCCGCGAGGCAGCGGAGCCCGGCAGGGGATGCGGGATGGAGAAGGCGAGCGAGCGAGGGGAGGAGGGCGTGGGGGAGCGCGGGGTGAGGGGCTGATGGGAGGCCCGGTGACGTGGGTGGGAGAGATGGCAGCACGGAGAGGGCAGAGGGTGGCGAGGTGGGGCGGTGCGGTACGGCAGATGGGGGGAGCAGGAGGGCCAGGAGGGCTGCCAGGGCAGAGAACAGGATGACGTCAGCACCCTGCCATGCTGTGACGTCAGCAGAGTATGGAGCATGTGGCATGGCATGCCACAGATGGGCGTGCAGCAGAGGCATGATGTCACCACCCTCCCCCACCTCACTGCGTGCCTCACTCCTGGCCTCACAACTTACCCCATCCCCCATCACCATCATCCTCACCATCCCCATCACCTCATCCTCCTCTCCCTCCAGCTCCCCCTCCTCCCACCACGCATCACTCCTTTCCACCCATCCCCACTCATCCTCGTCCGCACCCGCGTCTCCACGTGACATCCGCCCTTCATCTCTCAACGCCTCCCCCTCCCTTGACCCTGCTCGCCCCTCGCCCTTCCTCCCATCCTCACCACTGCCCCTCGAATCTTCCCTCCCCCCCATCCACACCTCGTCCCTGGGAGTGTTGGCCCCACACAGCACTGCAGCGGCGCGCTCCCTCTGCCGGTGGAAAGTCAAGAGCACCAGCACCCAGGTGGAACGTCAAGAGCACCAGCACACAGGTGGAACGTCAAGAGCACCAGCACACAGGTGGAACGTCAAGAGCACCAGCACACAGGTGGAACGTCAAGAGCACCAGCACGCAGGTGGAAACGTCAAGAGCACCAGCACACAGGTGGAACGTCAAGAGCACCAGCACACAGGTGGAACGTCAAGAGCACCAGCACACAGGTGGAACGTCAAGAGCACCAGCACACAGGTGGAACGTCAAGAGCACCAGCACACAGGTGGAACGTCAAGAGCACCAGCACACAGGTGGAACGTCAAGAGCACCAGCACGCAGGTGGAACGTCAAGAGCACCACCACACAGGTGGAACGTCAAGAGCACCAGCACACAGGTGGAACGTCAAGAGCACCAGCACGCAGGTGGAAAGTCAAGGCCACCAGCACACTCCCTCCTTTTTACCACTGCCCTCCTCCCCTCACCATGCCAGCGCTGCCACGGCCTCCATGCCTGCATGCCCCTCCACGCCCCCCTGCCCCTCCCCACCTCCTCCGGTCCCGCCGTTCCTCCCGCCCGCCATGCCCCTGCTCTCACCGCTCTTGCCTGCCTTCACACGCCCTCTGCTTCCTGCCTCCTTCGCCTTCACTATAGTCACACCACCCTCAGAGTCACACACTGCCACGTGGCAGAAAGCTGCTATCCATCTGACTGCCTGCCATGCTGCAGCCGCCACAGCTTGTGAGCTGGCGGCGTGGGGCGACACCTCGTTCCTCCCACCCACCCTCCCATCGCCCCCCGCCCCGCCCTCCGCCCCTCCGCTGCTCGCCTCTCCACATTCTGACTCTCCATCCACCGCGCCGCCCAGCAGGGCATGCATCAACGCAGATGCAGACAAGCGTGCCGCCCACAGCACGGCCGGGTCATGATGGGTGCCCGGCCAGCACAAGACACTTGCTGCAGTCTGCCAGCCAGCTGCTGCCACATGGCTGGCTGCTGAGTCATCGCGCGCTGAGCTGGCAGGGAAAGAGGCAGATGAGATGAGGCGGAGCGAAGGAGGGTGGGAGCAGTGGCAGGAAGGGAGGGGGAGGCGTGCGAGGGCTGCTCGCAGGGAGAAGGCGAGGAGGGGTTTGAGGGGCGACGCAGTAGTGGCAGTGGCAGCAGCAGTGGGGGAGGGAGATGCATGACGGCAGGCAGCAGCGAAGGACGGGTGGCTCTGCGCACAGGCAGGGCAGCAACGGGATCAGCAGAATCGATGGGGGTTGACACGGATTGGTTGCGGATGGTGAAAGACTGGTGACGTGGCTGCAGTGGGTGGATGAGGTGATGTAGCAGCAGAGCCGGGAGGGGCACATGGTGGTGGACACTAGACGCATGTGGGTGCGGGAGGATGCTTGGTGAAGTGAAGGTTGCAGTGGCGGCACACACGCATTGCGCCAACGGCAGTGATGGTATAACTGGCACGGATAGAACTCAACAGTTGGAACGACGCTTGCGACGAGTGAGAGTGGTGGAGAGTGAGAGTGGTGAAGAGTGAGAGTGGTGAAGAGTGAGAGTGGTGAAGCGTGAGAGTGGTGACGAGGCGCAACAGCGTGATGAGAGAGGCAGAGGCAGAGGAAGGTACAGCGTGATGAACGTACCGCAAGTGCTCGCACGAGGGCGAGGGCGGCTTGGCGGCACGCGGGACAGGCGATGAGGTGCAGGAGGGGGAGGAGAACGAGGAGGAGGGGGAAGAGGGGGAGGAGAATGAGGTGCAGGAGGGGGAGGAGAATGAGGAGGAGCGGGAAGATGGGGAGGGCGTGAGATGGCGGGCGAGAGCTGGCAGGAGGTCAAGAGGCGGCCGCAGCAGCATGTGGCACACCGAGGGGTCCTGTGCTGTGAGGCGATTGGTGGAGGAGGAAGGACAAGGGGGAGATGAAGAGATATGCACGGATGATGACGACGGAACACACCGATGGATTGAGAGACTGCAGCATGGACATGGCATGCTCACCCATGACGTTGAGAAGGCTCAATGCTGCTTCCGCCACCGCACCATCATCCGCATGGCCGCCACTCGCCGCTGCCATGCCCACCACCTGTGCCATGCGCCACATCCTCTCCACTGTGTGCCCTCCTGTCGCTCCTCCCCCCCCACCTGCACTCTCTTGACTGCCAGCCAAAGGCCACTGCTGCAGCGGGAGGAGCTCTCTCGTGATCTCTGAGAGGGCGGGCGGCCAGCGGTGCGCGAGCAGCTGCAGCACGTGCAGCACTGCCGCCACCGCTGCTGGCCTCCGCGCCTCCCAGGGCGCTCTGTGCTGGCAGGCAGGGCTGCTGCTGCTGCTTCTGCTGGTGGCGTTTTCTGTATTGCAATCCAGGGCTCTGCTTTTGTCCGTGCTGCAGTGTGCTCTTGACTCGCACTGCCCCGTGTCCTCCCTCCCTGCAGAAGGTGGGGCGGCCGTGTGAGAAGCCGCAGCAGCAGGAAGAGGCGCAGAAGCAGTGGCGCTGTGAGCATGGCGGTAGCAGTTGGCACTTGTGTCCTTCCCTGCCCTGCCAACACCACCATCCCCCCCTCTCACCCGCATTCCCCCTCCCCCCATCACCCCCCTCCCATCCCCCCTGCCTGCTGGCCCCCACAGCCACTCCGCTGCCCGCCCCACCACCCCCTCTCCTAGCGGCCCTGCCTTCCGCCCCTCCCCCCCATCCCTGCACGCGGTCCCAGGCGCAGGCGTGGCGGGCGACAGATAGAGGCGCCACAGCGAGGTGAGGACGGCAGGGGTGAGGCAGGCGGACGCGAGCGGCAGGGAGAGGGGAGGGGAAGGAGGGGAAGGGAGGAGGATCGTGGTGGGGGAGAGTGCGAGGAGGGAGGAGGGGAGGGCGGGTATGGGGGCGTGGGTGAGTGGGCGAGAGAGGGGTTGAGGGGGGAGGATGAGGAGGGAGGCAGCGATGGCAGTGCAGGCGTCCAGCACCGCCTCGTCCGCTGGGACAGGCGCGAGTGCGCGGACAATGCGCACAAGAGGGCATGGAAGGGCAAGCGGAAGGGCAAGGGGTGGGGCTTGGTTGCTGCGAAAGGCAAGGTAAGACGGGCGAAGGAGGGCAGGTAAATGGGCAACGAAGTAGAGAGGAGGAGGAGAGCGAGCCAAGAGGTGGTCCACAGCAGCATGCAGTGCATGCGGCGCCTGTGACACTGTGCCACTGTGCCACTGTGACACTGTGCCACTGTGCCACTGTGACACTGTGCCACTGTGACACTGTGCCACTGTGCCACTGTGACACTGTGCCACTGTGCCACTGTGACACTGTGCCACTGTGACACTGTGCCACTGTGTACCCGCCCCAAGGCAAGCCAAGCCACATGGATCGCTCCGCACTGCCCCTGTGAGAGCACTCATGACTCAACTCATGGGGGCGGCTCTCGGCCACTGTGCCACGATCCATCCACCCCCCCTCCCCTCTTTCCCCCCCCCTCTCTCCTTTGAACTTAAATCCACGGGGAAGCGCCCACGACTCACACGGTGCATCGACGTGGCCCATCAGCGCGAGCAGCATGGCGACTGTGGCTGTGTGGCGCCACCACCTGCCCCCCGCCACGCACATGTGGCGCACGCGCGCACCGCCTGATGCCGCATGCAGGGCAGCGCGGGCGGGGCGACGGACGCGAGCAGGTAGAGCAGCGCGGCGCAGGCCGACTCAAAGAGCGACTGGTGGTGGGGGGCGGGGGGACGCACGTGGGCAGGTGAACGAGGGAAGACGCGCTTGGCGAGTCGGATACCCGCATGCACGTGGGCAAGGGAGCCAATGGCGTGCTGTAGAAGCGGAGGCAACAGGGGTGGACGACGTGGACGGGCATGCATGCACGCACTACCTGCTGCACCCATATAAATGGCACGTCATTGAACGCCACAAGAAGTGCCCTTCACATCCACTAGCCCTTCCCCTAACCTCTCTCCGCCCCCACTCCCCACTCGCTACCCCCTCGCCCAGCAGCACCCATCCAGGAGCCCTGCACCTCCCTCCCATTCAACAGCCAGCCACACTCGCCTTCACTGCTCGCCGGCACGCCACGTCACTCCACAGAGGCATCTCGTTGGCCGCCACGAACTCAAGCAATCGCTGCAAGCCACGTAGCAGCTGACTGTGCAGGGCAGTGTCGCAGGAAGCCCACTGCCACTGCCACGTGTCCTGCCATGGACCGGCTGCCTGCCACGTGGCAGCAGCAGTTGAAGCAGGACGCGTGGATGCAGGGATTGACGGCGATGGTCCTGCGGCCATGCCAGCATGCAGATCAGTACACAATTAAAGAGCATGTTAGCACGTCAGCATGTCACGTTAGCATGTTAGCACGTTAGCATGTTAGCACGTTAGCATGTTAGCACGTTAGCATGTTAGCACGTTAGCATGTCAGCATGTTAGCATGTCAGCATGTCAGCATGTCAGCAGCATGGCAGCATGGCATCATGGCGCAACGCCATGGCATGTCATGCCGGTGACTCAAGGAGGACAGGAAGGCCATATTGAACGATCATCGCCAGCCATGGGCAGCCAGCAACGATTGCCCAGCAGCCACGCGCCCGCAACCGTCCCTCTGCCCCACACCCTTCCTCACCCCTCCCCCTCCCGTCCGCATGCATTCTCGACCAGCGTGCGGGCCTCTACTTCACGAAAAACCTACTCCGAAAACTGTCCTAAATGAGTCTCTAAGCTTTGCTGGAAGCACTGCTTGGGCGGCAATGCTTGGGGATAATCAACGGTTCCCAATTTTCTCCTCGGAAGTACCTCTCCCACCCTGTGACTCGCGACGTCACCTCTTCTCCCCTGTCCGCTCTCCCCTCTCCCCACTCCTCTCTCCTCTCTCCTCTCTCCTGCCTTCTCGCGCCCGAACTCTAGTGTCTGCCGCCATGCGTTTGCTGGAGCGGAGAGGACGAAGGCGAGGGCGATTGAGAGGGGGGGGATATGAGCACTGGACTGGCGCCAGTGGAATAGAAGCCTGAGAAGCGGCTCGAGGCGACGCGAGGCGACGCCAGGCGACGCGAGGCGAGGCGATCGCACCTTTCCAGGCGACGGCGAGGGCGGCCGCGAATGGCTTCCGCGCCTCGTCCAACGACCGCTGCAGCTGCCGCCGCCGCGACTCGCGCGACTCCCGCTCCCTCTCCCTCTCGCGGCCCTTACCACTCGCCCCGCCGCCATCGCCTCGCTGCGATCTGTCCGGCGGCGCTAGGCGCACTCGCGCGTGACGCGACGCATCCATGGCGGTCATAACGATGGGCGGCGCGCCATCGAGGCGGTAACGGATCACACTCGTGCTTTCGCTGGTAACCCTGTGCTATACCTCAGTAAAATCGAACAATGCGAAATACAGTAGGGAGGTAGGGTCGGGCGGTCTGCTGTTGATCAAGCCACGCGGGATGTACACATTACAGCAGACTTGTGATGAATCCATAATCCGACAATGTAAGGCAAAAACAAATGACCATAATCTTTGCAGCAGGACATGTCTTAACGGAACTCCCTGGCCATACTCCCCCCCTTCCGCCAGCAGTGCCTCTTCCCACTTCTCACTCCTGATCTCCGCCGTGTGATCCGCTCAGCTATCATCCCTTCGTTCCGCACTGCTCTCTCTCTCTCTCTCTCGTTCACTTCTCTCCATTACTTCGTTGCTATCCACCGCACCTTCCCTTACCGCAGTTGACCGCATTGCTTCCGCGTTATCCCCCCTTCCGTCGCCTCAAGCTCTCTCTCTCGCCCTCGGACCGTCTCCTCTCGCCTGCTCCTCCCCGCCACGCCGCGCCGGGCGGGGCAGCGCGGCGTGGGGCGTGCCATCGCCAGCGCGCCATGAGGGGTGGCCCTGTGGGCCTGCACTGCCCGCTGGCAGGGACGCCTTGCCAACCGCACGACAGCACTTATGCAAGCTTAGGTGGGCGGTTGGCGTCGCGGTGTAGAACGCTGCTGGGCGACGCGAGCAGTTCCAGACGGCGTCCAGGCGATTTGTCACGGCGACAGTCGCATGGTCGCCTGCGATTTTCTGCACGGTGTGAGGTAGCCGCACGGCAGCCGTCACTTGTGCCATCGCCATCGCCCCTCGTTTCCTTCCGCGCATGGCCCCTCGTTTCCTTCTGCGCATGGCCCCTCGTTTCCTTCCGCGCATGGCCCCTCGTTTCCTTCCGCGCATGGCCCCTCGTTTCCTTCCGCGCATGGCCCCTCGTCTCCCCCCCGCCCTTTCCTCTTCCCGTCCCCCCCACTCCTGCCCCCTCCCTCCGCGCCCGCGACGCCAGCTCGCGCCACCCCCAAAGATCGCGGTGCGCGGTCTGTCCCGGCGGGCGGCGAGCACGGGCGCGCTCGTCCTGGACGCGGTGAGTCTGGACGTGGCGGCGGGGCAGCTGTTCGGGCTCATCGGGCCGTCGGGCAGCGGCAAGTCGACGCTGCTGCGCGCCATCAACCGCCTGTGGGAGCCGGAGCGGGGGCGCATCTTCGTGGACGGGCGCGACGTGACGGGCATGGACGTGCAGCAGCTGCGGCGGCGCGTGGGCATGGTGTTCCAGAGCCCGCACCTCTTCCCTGGTGCGCCCTCTTCGCCTCGCCCCTCCCCCCTCCCACCATCCCTCACGTCACTTCTACTTCTCCCCTCCTCGCTCCTACTTTCTCCGTGATTCTTCTTTTGGACAGCCGTCCACAACCTTTCTAAGTGTCCAATGCGTCGTAGGTCGTCCTTGCGCATGGTGCACGTGGTGCACGTGGTGCACGTGTCCGTCGCCTTCCATCTCCCGCCACTCCCTGCACGAGGTCACCCCGTCCTCCCACCTTCCCTGCATATGCTGTGCGTCGTGGCGCTCGCCCTCTCCTCGTCACTTCACTTCCCGCCCTGCATCCCTGCAGCACAGCATGCAAGCAGCGGAAAGTGCCGGAGAACAAGTAGCACCAGTTCCTCCTCCCGCTGTGCTGCACAGAACCTTGCATTGAGCTCGTTCACAGGCCGACTCTCCTCCCACTCCCCATTTCACCATCACCATCACTCCTCCCCCTCCCCCCCCCGCACGGTGCTGACAGCGTGCAATGCGGGCCAGTTCTGCCGGGTGACACCGTCCACGTTGCTTGAGACAGCACAGAACCCCACTTTCCACCTCTCCCTACACCTGCCTCCCTCCAACCTCCCCTCCCCCAGGCACGGTGGCGGACAACGTGCGGTACGGGCCGGCCCTGCAGGGCATCGCGCTCGGCACGGAGGACCTGCAGAGCCTGCTGCTGCGTGCGGGGCTCGACCCCTCCACCGCCTTCCTGCAGCGCTCCGCCCTGGAGCTGTCCGGGGGCGAGGCGCAGCGTGTGTCCATCGCGCGCGCCCTGGCCAACTCGCCCGAGGTGTTTCTGCTGGACGAGCCCACGAGCTCGCTGGACCCCACGGCCACGCGCAAGGTGGAGGAGACCATGGAGCGCCTGAGGCGGGACGAGGGGCTCACCGTCGTCGTGGTCTCGCACAGCATGCCGCAGATCGAGCGCGTGGCCGACGTGACGGCGCTGCTCAGCCAGGGCCGGGTGGTGGAGATCGGGCCGCCTGGGGAGCTGCGGGACAGCGACAACCCTGGTGTCGCCAGCTTCTTCACGGGGGAGCTCAGCTGAGGCGCGAGGACGGTAGTGGTAAGGGAAGTGCAGGGCCTCTGGTGTACAGAAAACACGGGTGGCACGTTCGTATCAGTGATGTTTAGTATGTAACTCCCGTCTCTGTGATGCCATTTCTCGCCTCCCGCACTGTGGGGGAGACATCCTATGTGCTTGGAATCTCCCCTGCTGTGGTTGTTCCAAAAAAAACTGCCTCAGATGAGTTGCTTGCAGGTACTGCATGAGGCAACTGCCATCCTAAACTACCACGGGCAAGTCTATGATATGATGCGGGAATTCACCCTAGAACAGGCCCCCAAATTGGTTTTGGGGGACGCTGATCCTTCAGTGTCCCCTGCCATTCCTTGGGTTGGTCATCAGCGTTGCCCTCGGAAAAAAGGCTGAAAAATCAGGGTAGCCTAAAAAAAATTCGCTGATCAATCAGCGTTGCACCTAGATTTTACACTGATCCAAAGTTTCCTCTGAACGTAGTAACGAGACATTTAATATGACGAATTCCTGGGTTGTTTGCGAGGGGTTTGCGAGGGCTGTGTCTCCCTCCCCCCTCCCCCTCCGTCTCGCTTCCCCCCTCCCATCTGTTTTCCTTCCCCCCTACAGTTCCCTCCGTTTCGATCCCCCCTTCCCCTTCGTTTTGCTTCCCCCCTTCCCTCGGTTTTGATCCCTCCCCTCTTCCCCCCGATTTCGGCTGCGAAGTGCGTGGGGGGGAGGGTTGTCTCTAGATATGGGGGACTTAGCCGAAATTTGTGTTCAGGGTAGAGCCCCCCTATAGCGCTGGGGCATCAGTGTACACTTGTATGAAAACACTGAAAAATCAGCGTAGGAACACAAAACTTTGCTGAAAAATCAGGCTAAGGGTAAAAAAAAAGGCTGAGCAATCAGCGTAGGTACCAGAAAAAGGCCTGAAAAAAGGCTGAATCAGCGTAAAAAGGCTGCAATTTGGGGGCCTGCCCTAGAAGAACCTTAGAAATTCTTATTGTAAAGAAACCAATGAGGTATTTTCCAGTATTGATGCATGATAGTCCAGGTAAGAAGCCGTGCAGTGCAGCAAATCCACAGCCAGTGGAACACAAACTATGTACAGCTGCACGCATTCTGTGATGAGGCCCCCCCAGTAATACGATAGGAGCCATGCATGCTTGCTGTGAGAGCTTCACCACCCATCGCCGCCCTCGCGGGGACGCTGCTCGCAGGAAGCCCACCGCGTGAGGCGGACATTCGAGGCCAGCCCTTGGCTCCTGGCGCTCCGACCGGCATGGCTGCTGCTACGGCGGGTGCTGCGTGGCGCTCTGTGGCCGCCGATCTCCGGCGCTGACTGCGCGCGAGGGATCTCGCCAGCCCCCGCCGCCGCTGCCTCGCGACTGTGACTGTAGCGAGACGCCATTCTCCTCCCGCTGCCCGACTCCCAGTCGTGTCGCAATTCGTCGCCATCACTCTCTCCCTCCCTCAGGAACGACTGTAACCTGGTAACGAACTGTTCGCAGCGGATCGCATTGAGTTCGCGCTGAGCGTCCAGCAGCGAGAGGCAGCCTTCCAGCGCGAGTAGATCGAGATCCGTGCTGCCGTGCACGAGGCGAAAGGAAGGGACCTGCTCCTTGCGACACGTGGCGAGAACAGCCCGCGATTGCCGGGAGGAGAAGTGGAGGCGTGAGTCGGTCATCAACTCGGTTGCTGCCATTTTCCGTCGAGCTAGGTCAACAGTCTGTTGGTATGGTGTACCCCGTGACTGAAGGCCCTTGCCTGTCGTTGAGGTGAGAAGAACGAGCGATGCTGGGAGGGTTATTAATCGGCGGGTAGCTGAGATGCAGGGAGCAGACGACGGTGCTTTATGGCCATCCGGGGCAGCTCTCCCAGTCGGGCCGGGTCCGATGGACGCGACGAGTCTCGTCTCGGACGTCGCACAGTACAGTACCTTGGAACACGGCCTAGCACACTGTAGCGCCTCACTCGCCCTCACTGAACGCCTGCTTCAACCGTAAGCAACGCTGGCGGAGGATCCTAGATTGTCAGATTGATCAGCGGCGCTGACAGTCGAGTGATCTCCGGAACCAAGGTGGAGGGAGAATCCACCAATCGGGAGGCACCATAACGGACAAAAGACGATACACCGAGTTGGCGCCTTTGATCTGCCTTCGGCTCAGCCGTTGCTGTGACCTGTGATGAAGGTTGGGCCCTCCAAATGCAAGCCCCAGGATGCTCCTAGATCGCCTCCCCCCTGGCGGAGTGTGGCTCGGCACGGGACTCATCATGAAGTCATCGCGAAGGCGTAAGGTGCAGATGATATCGATTCCCGATGGGGTACACGTCTTCAGTAGACTGAGGCGATTCGAAAGGGAAGTAAACCACACAGATTCCACTGTCGAAGCCGTAAGAACGTGTGCTGTACATGCAGCGAGACCGAACCGTGAATCTTGCTGAAGTGCATTTTCCAGAATGCTTGGCATCTGCCACGCCTTCCCCGACCGCTCAGACGCAGTGCAAGCTGGTTGCAAGCTGGAGCCTCTTGCCTCCCTTGTTTCGCGATTGCGAGAGATCGCCGAAACAAGTGAGGCTTTCGCTTCCCTCGCTGCCCTCAATCCTGGCTGATCTCTCCTCCAACAGTTGCGATTGCGGCGGCTGCGATTGGCTGACCGGAAAAGCCAGATTTGATCGTGGCACCACGGGTGTCCTCGTGCCATGAGGGCGTGGTGCCTACGGTTCGGATAACACAATTCCGAAAATGTGTGGGTTTTTAGATTAACGGTAACCCTTACTGGCGTTTTAATCTCAGAGGTACCGTTCAGCCCTATTACAGAAGGGTTTTTCACCGTTCCAACCTGCGAGGGGTATTTTTTTGTTCTTCGAGGTTAGTCCGCTCCACAGCGAACCACGCGTCACAATCTCGTTGCCCCGTCACTGTAGCATTTACTTGGCAAATTCGCCACACCCCTCCTTGTCTTTTGTTCCGAAGCCATCCAGGAAGATGAGTGGCTTACAAAGAACTGTTACAGCTGAACTGTTGCGCCACAACTTCCTGCAAACATGCCAGCACCTCTGCGAATTCTACCTCCTGATATACTCCGGCTGATACATACAAGATTAGTTTTCAATGTTTCATCAAATTGCCCGTGGTTTAGAAAACACATTTCCGCATTCCCTTTTGCCGAGATAACTTAAACGGAGGGGTTCTACCAGGCCATTCGCAGAGTATCATTCCTTTTTCAAACTTCGAAAATAACTAGGAGGACAGCATCGCGGACATACACTCCTTACCACTGGGTGTCTTGTCAACCATAACACATGGCTTTTTTTTTTGTGATTTTTTTTTGTCCTCATAGAATCTCAAGGCTGCCACCATTGGTAAATTCGCATGCCTGCTCGCATGTTGGCGGGAAGATGTGGCGCAACAGTACGGCTGTAACCATTCTCTGTAGAGCCACCCATCTTCCTGGATGGCTTCGGAAGAAAAAGACAAGGAGGGGTGTGGCGAATTTGCCAAGTAAATGCTACAGTGACGGAGCAACGAGATTGTGACGCGTGGTTCGCTGTGGAGCAGACTAACCTCGAAGAGCAAAAAATTGCCCCTCGCGGGTTTGAACGGTGAAAAACTCTTCTGTAATAGGGCTAAACGGTTCCTCTGAGATTAAAATGCCATTAAGGGTTACCTTTAATCTAAAAACCCAAAATGTGTTCCGAAGTTCCACGTGTCCGAACCAGACAAGTCTGGTACATTGAGTTCCGAGCACCCCTCTGTCCGGACAGGAAAGTCTGGTACCTTCCGTCCGAGACGAATACCCTAAAATTCACATTTTCGAATGACCTAAATGACGAACTATAACGAAAACGCATGAAACCAACAAGTTCGAGCGAAAATACCCCTAACCGCCACCCCTACCAACCCATAGCGCGAAATGTCGCCATAACGCTGGGCGAAAACTGCAACTGTGTTTCCCGCTCACAATTTTCGCCTTGTCGCTCGGGCACGGAAAAGTTTCGGAAATTACGAATTTCCAATCAGACGGACGTACGGACGCTCCGTCCGGACGTAGGGTACCACACCTTGTTCGGACGGACGGGGTATTCCGGACGTGATTGGCAAACTCATGCGCGAGTAATGGCGAAAAGTATGACCCTATTCGTCTGCGGACGGAACTCAGTTCCGAAACCTAAGTCACCACGCCCTGAGACTCTGTTTGTGCGTCACCAGATCCCCACAACAAACAGCTTCACATCAGGGCTCTCGCTAAGCTTTTTAAGTACAGAATTCTGTTTCTCCCAGAAACCCCCCTGTTAGAATACTAGAATAAATAGAAACAAGAGAGAACAAGCAAGATATAGGGTTGGGTTGTACTCTCTAAGAACATACACCTATTCTAGCCCATGGCTGATTTCATCAGACTATTTTAGTCTGATTGTCTGAAATTTCAGACCAATTTTTTTGCCAAACCTGATTCTTCAGACTTGCCATTTTCTGAATGCTGAACCCTAAAGAGTTATATGTTTTTGAATCATGAGAATCTCAGACTTTGCTGTTTGCGGATACTGAGTTTTCAGAGCGCAGCGCGTACGGACCCTGAGACACATACTGCACCTACCTGCCCTCTGAAGTAAATCGTCTGGTGTTGTAGTAGACTAAGAATAAAACTATAAACACGAACACTTGGCAAATCCTCAAGTGTTGGTCCAGGATCTTTGCTGGAATGGTAGACTAGTAAGACAGCGGAAGTCTTGTAAATGTAATAGTCAAGGTTGAATAACCTGAGTACGTGAACTTGTGTGTAATCAAAAGTTAATAATGAAAAGACTTGACAAGGATTTATAGTTCTAGCAAAAGTACCTATTCGCTAATGTACCTGTTCGTCACTATCGCGCTATGCGCCCTAGATGATAATGAAGAGTTGCGAGTGTTCGCGTGACTGAAAACGACTGTCCTCTGACGAGCGCTATTTGCTGACGTCATCATACGGACTTATCTTCTACAGTATGATTCGACACTAACTACACTTAATCGACTTACAGAAATGCTAAGTATCAATTATATCACAACACTCCCCTTCATTTCTAGAACGTCGATAGTGTCACTTGTTGAAGATTCCGCAGAGCTTGTTACAGTACTGAAACTTCTGTCATGTCAGCTTCTTCGTGAGAAAATCGGCAGCCATTTCGTTGGTCGAACAGTAGACCAATCGCATCCTCCCCTTCTCGACTTCATCTTTGACGAAAAAGTAACGAAGCGAAATATGCTTCGTCCTGTTGACGAAACCAGGTTGATGTGCGATGCGAATTGCACTTTGATTGTCGCACTGCAGGGTAAACTGGGTAGTTGTCGTCAACTTCGCTTCTTCCAATAGTTCTTGTAAGTAAAGTCCTTCGCGTGTTGCTGTGCAGACATCAATAAACTCGGCTTCAGCAGAGG